AAAGTCTTTGCAAAGTGAAGACTTTTGCAAAGAACCAAAGTGAGATAGAAGAATTACCCCRTGTTTCCTGGGATATGCTCCTTCATTTTACACCTTTGCCATTCATGTTCTAGCGTGGCTTGGGGTAGGCATACCTGAACTAGCTTTAAAAATCTCATCAGCTCCAACTTCCTCCCACCTTGCTTTTGTGCCAAGGACATCCAAGATAGCTGTGCCAATGTTCAAAGTGTGTTTACTTATGCACCTCCCTGAGGCATGGAAATCTGGCCATGCACATTTCTTCTGATCACTGATGTGTGTAAACTCACCTATCCAGTAGCCAAAGTCGGCAGGGAGACACAGAAATCTTTCTTTACTCACATTTACTATCAGTTACATCATCCCTTTCTCATCCCTCTGCTCAACAGGTTAAACTCCAGTTCTCATAACTCAAAATCTAGGGGGGGGGAAAGTATTTATTTCAATAAATCATAGAAAAATAGGATGGTTTGGGTTGAAAGGGACCATTGAAGGTCATCAAGTCAAACCCTCAACTAGACCAGGTTGCTCAGAGCCCTGTCCCACCTGACCTTGAACACTTCCAAGGATACCTTAAATGATGTTTGCGGTGGCTTTAAACTGCCCCATATTTTCTTCCTACACAACACCCCAGACTACAGCCACCTCCTCACACTTGCACAGGAGCCAGTTCTGGGCCAGGGAGCTTGGGCACCCACACAGCCTCACCTCATCCCCCTCTGCAGGGCCACCCAGCCCAGCTCTGGCTGCTGTTCAGATCTTCACAGTCTGGGCAGAACTTGCCTACATCTGCCTGTAGGAACAGAACAGAGATATGCTCCAACTTATCTTTCAGAGGACAGCATGGCCTCTACAAAAAAAAAAGAGATCTGGCATAGTCTTCTGCCTTGTTGAGATAAGTAACAAACAATAAAACAGTTAAAATCAAAATGCTTGTTTTCTCACACTTTTTGGTTCTGCACAAAGAGCAGCAAATTCAAACCCAGGCAAGATAGACACTACCAGCTGTGCTGACAGAAAACAAAAGGTTTGAATGTTTCCAGTAATAAAAACTTCCTTCATGCTCAACTTCTCTTTTTTTTCTTTTTTTTTTTTCTTTTGTGCTGCACAACACAATTGCATGGGAAACCTTGGTAAGTTACTGCAGACCATCACATTCTATCTCTATTCTTCGTGAGCCCTTCCCACTTATTTCAGTATTTATCTGCCTTCACCATGAAGAGCTAAGGGCAAATCTATCAGCTGACAGCAGCAAACACTGTTGCATGCAGTGGCTGCTACATTCTCCTCTTCTCCCCCACCAAAACCCCGATGGTTCAACAGATAGGTAATAATTGGGCCCAGAACACTGTTTGCCAAAGCCTGATGCATTGGAAGAGTTTTCTTTATTTATTTTCTTTATTTGCCATCTATTGAACCACCAATCAATGTCCTCTGCATACAAAAACTGGGGGTGTGGGGTTATGAATTGAATTAACTTTGGTTTTGAAAGGAAATTCTCCCGCCACACCTCCAGTTCAGTTCTGGTGCAAAGAAAATGACAGCAATTCATGTTGACAAGTTCTGCACATGTCCCAATGTTACCAAATTCAAAATCTCAGTTGCTAGCATTCAGAACTATTCATCTTCCCCATCCCCACCGGTCCTGCAAAACCAGCCAGCAAAACACTTTGTCATTTTGGCAGCTTGGGAGTATTGCATTTGTCAGCTTGGGAGTATTGCATTTCTCAGAAAGCAAACAGGTCACTTCTTCTGTCATGACTTGCCATGGCTGTCTCTTACCGAGATGCTGAAGTACAAGTCAGCACTTCAGCTGAAGACGTAGCTCAAAATAGTCCTTTTTACTGTACTCTGAAGATGCATCTTAAGAGTTAAAAAACAGCACACGCTTCTAAATGAGATTAAAACCAGCRTGGAAAACTGCACTGGGTCTGGTTCCTGTCTCTTTTCTTTTTGTCAAAACCCTTCCTCAGCCCTCTTTTGTTTTTGTAMTGACTCAACAAGCAGAGCGATACGGAACTCCCAGCTCTTTCTCTGGAGTCCCACCCACTTTTGCAGAAGGGACAAAAAAAGAAAAAAAAAAACCACAGGAGAGAAACTGAACTATGAAAAGAAAACAAAACTCTGTAAAATGATAGCAGTGTTTACTGATCCTGACCTTGTCTTTGACACCGTCTGGATAAAGAAGGCAATTCCCCCTAGGGAGCAACCAGGGCAAGCTCCCTTCCCCCACGAGGTTGAGCTGGGGGGAAGTGGAAGAAGTGAGAGTTTTAGCCGCCTTTTTCTGCCACATCCCAGCCTTTTCAGAGACTCCCACTGYTTAGCACAAATCCCGTGCTCCGGAGCGGAGGAGGGGAGCTCGCAGGCAGCTGCTTTCCTGAGCATCTCCGGCAGCTGCTCCCACGGAGGGATCGGGTATCCCGGGGGGCAGGAGCTGCAGCAGGATCCGAGCCCTGCCAGCACGGCCCTCTGGCAACAGGGCAACGAAGAGCCGCCAGCTCGCCATCCCCTCGCTTCCTGCAGGAATATTTATCCCTGGATTTTTCCTTAGGGCTCTCTGGGACCTGTGGGGAGGGCTGCCTGCACCCCCCGCTAATCCAAATGCTGCCTGAAAAGAGAGGATCAGAGGGGGTCTCCGTGTTTGGCTTAAGTGTTTGCAGGAGTTGTGACCACAGAAGGCATTTTCTAACCCCGACAAGGAAGTTTCAGCATGAATTTGTTTTCAGCAGCCTGCAGCTTCCAAGGAAGAAAGCTGAGTCAGAGATACCGATGCTTGCAACACTTAGCTCTATTCAATCAAGCAAACCAACRCTAAGTCTCTAGCTCTGACACTTGGAATGAACATTGCTTCAAACATAATCTTAACAATTAGTAATACAAAATTAYTGGAGAGTTTTTATCGAAGAAGTGAGATTTTCAATAGCAAGTTTTCTTTGTGTAGGAATAACACCTCAAGACAGATCTGCCAAAAACAAAAAGTAAAAGAAACTGCTCATTTCTTTTAAAATAGTGGCTCCACTTGTCATTAATTAGAGCATCCTTAAATTAAGCCTTCAGGTAATMTCTGCCTTAAACTTTCTGACCCAGGAGAGGAGCAAGGAGTCTGTCTTGAGGTCAGACAGATCCCAAACTGGTACATGTTCAGATACCACACAGAGAAACTTGTCTGCATCACATCCTAAGAGTACTAGAGGGAAACAGGAGGCATTTCACACAAAACACAGAGGAAGCATTACTCTGTAAAACAGCTGCTTTCCCCATTCAAAGGCAAACCCACCGAATGACCTCAGACAGGAATTTGAAGACTTGAGTGCAGTAGAAAGGAAGGATGGGATTCAGTCGATAAACCAATTGTCAGGACAGAATTGCAGTTTTATGATTCATCTAAAAATRTTGCACACAGCTCAAAGACAGTAACCTGGACCCAGYTTAACATTGATTTGAAAAGTGTGASACAAGTGCCAAAACATTTTTAACAYGCACCTAGATCTCAAGCTCTRTTTGWATAACTACTTAGGGATGCAAACATTACACAAGCCTTGGTAAAGGGTGTTCCTGGTCTGTCATTTTTCCTAGGTTTGTAATAATCAACTAATGCACAGCAATGCATGAGCAGGAAAAAAACAAAGATGGTAATAGTCTCATGACTGTTTTAGCAATTTGCATGTATTAAAACAAAAGAAGATTTTTATCTTTTTGGGGATTGGGAGGTGCACAGAGGACTATCTCCACTGCTTCTGCCTAATGTGCTTTGCTAATGTAATGTACAGGCACTATACTTATTTGGTATTTGTACTTTTTATGCTATTAGCATGGGAAATKGTGAACTTGATACCTCACAGCAACTACACTTACTTAAATTGTTCTGAGGTTATTCATCCCAATCCACTTAAAAATATGCAGCTGCCAGGATATGGGGCCAAAACCACCCACTGGCAGCCATACAGTGCTTTGCCTGGACTAGGTGTTACACCAGCTAGCCCTTTACAGTCACTGTTGCAGACAGCTCTGATCTCATCTAGGAGGCTGACCTTTAAAAGCAAAGAAAAAGGATTAAAAAACCCCATACACCCATACTAAGGCCCTTTAAAGTGATTTTCCCTAAGTTTTTCTGAAGAGGCCTGTAGTTTTACATTGAGTATTAGGTTTTGCTGAGCATGTCCCCATATGTGGAGTTTATACAGGACAGACAGACAACAGGCCACCAGGCTCTGATTTGTCACAGAAACAATGCCCTAAGCACAAGAACAAAAATTCCCATCCAGTTGCACAGCTGTTTCAGAAATCTGGGACAGATTTTACTCCTGGCTCTAACAGGACAAAGATGGAGAAAAGCTGGGGCATGAACTCTCCCTTCTTAAGGTCTCTGGCTCCTTGGCAGCTTCCCAGGAGTCTCCCCCAGTCCACACTGTCAGAGCAGGGCACACAAAGAGCCAGTGACAGTGGGGCAAAAGCAACAGCACARGCAGCAGCAGCAGGGAAAGGCTTAAAGGATAGGTGCACAGCTGGGGAGAGACTTGGGAGCTGAGCAAGGCTGTCCAGTTAAACGGTAACCAGATCTTAAATCTAAATCCTTCCGACAGGAAGGGTGATAAAGCTTACCCCCCTCAGAGCATCCTGCTGCTTATCTGCAAGGCTGATTAGTTCTGTCAGACAGCAARACACAAAATAACTTCGAAGCCACGGGGCTCATAATCATTTCATACAGCAAAGCAAAAGTTACTTTAAGTTACAAAATATAAATTGTATRTGAAATACAATCACCTCCACACTTTGCAGGCTGAGGAGGGGGCTCTCCTTTTCTTTTTTTTCAATCTAACCCTGTGTCAGGGAGGAGGCTCCTCCCAGGCTGTACCATGCACAAACGAAAGCAGCTTTTTCAAAGGAAAGCCACTAAATGCTTTAGCAATGCTTTCCAGGCACAAAACCAGACACAGACTTCGTGTTAACACACAGCCAACTGCACGAAGGCATTTGCTCACCTGATTTTCCCATGATCGAGTGAGTTTCGTTTTGGGTTGGTTTTTTGAAGGCATTTGCTCACCTGATTTTCCCATGATCGAGTGAGTTTCGTTTTGGGTTGGTTTTTTTTTTGTTAAATTTCACGTGCTTCCTTCTCTCCTGACTGAGTTTTGCTGCTAAGTACCGGGATGGATTGTTCGCAGTTTCAGCGCAACTTCTTCATTCGCCTGCGACCGCTGCCGGAAAAAAACTCAGCAGCGTGAACCCGCTACCGCCCCTTCTTGAGCGCTGGAATAAGCCTGCCCATGCCTTTATAAGGCATCGGGACACCGCTCTTTTTTCATGAAAAGATCCTGGTTAGGGTCAGGAGCTATTTATCCTCCACAGTAACCAAGCAGCTCCAAAACACCATATGTTTTCACATACCATTTTAGCTTAGTAATCGCATCTGTCTTTTGATAMGAGTAGGCTGTGAGAAGAAATTCTGCTGACAAATAGTTCCGCTGTCACGGTGGGCACAGCCCATGGGGCTAATTCATACAGTTAAATGCTGCTGAAGTTTTACCCACTTGCTGTATGTAAAGTTGAAACAGAAAAGTGATAAAGCACTTCGAAGTTTAACTACATTTTTATGCTTAAAATGAATCACTTCCTGCACTGTTACGACATAATCTGAAGAAGGTATTAGTAAAATAAGACTTTGCAGGTTAAAGAGGAACCGTGCTGATGGTGTGTTTCTGTGAAAAGCGTTGGATGTGAGTACATCCCATTTTATTTGTGTGAGCACGCTGTGCCACTGTTATCTTCACATTACATCGAAATGCCTCAAGCTAATCTGGCGAATATTAACTACTTTAACCACAGCGAACATGATACTTWGATTTAACTTCAGAAGTGCTGCATATCTCCAAACAATAATTCAGTTACGTGTTTCCAACTTTCATCTTCTCATCATCACAAAAAAAAAAAATCATCTGAGGTTAATGCTTCTCAATTTTTTACACCACCTTTCAAAATTTCAAGGTTCTACTTGGTTTTGTGCCAGGTCTGCTGGCTCAGCAGGTTTTAATTAYCYTTTGTCCACCTCTGTAGGCTAAGCTCCATSAGAAGAAAAGAAACAAAAAAAAAGATGCAAGGGTTGGGTTTTTTTCTTCTTAAACAAGTAGCAGCAGCAGGTGGGGAAAGGCAACATCCCTTCAATGCACTACTCCTCCTGCGGCTGTTTCACCGGCAGGGCTGAAACGCAGGTTGAGGAAGTGTCACTGACAGCTGATGGGTTCACTGAGAAGAGTTGCATGAGGRCAACTCATCACCACCCAGAGGAGGAAACCACAGGGTGTGAGACCATACCCTTCTTGCAGCTGCCTGGCTTTTTCCTTTGCTGGCAGCACTGCAGGAGAAAGACAACAAAGAAGGTGCAGAAGGGAATCTCTTCTCAGTCTGCTGCAAGTGGCAGTAGCTGGCTGGGGAGCAGGGAGGAGAGCTGGGGCTGGTACTATCAGARCCCTATCAGGAAAAGCTGCTGTTTTACTTGCTTGCAGAAGTTAACAATCCATGGGCCAGTCTGTGTTCCCTGGTCTCTCAAAAAGCTCTGCTAAACTTGAAATACTGGGCTGTACTATTCCTAGGACACATATGAGCAACAGCCAGTGCCACCCTATGGCCGTGACAAGGAGTAAAAGGGATTTTGTATTTGTACAGTTGGGAGTCTCTGGTATTTGAAACGTTCATTTATATTCTCATCTTTGATTGTTATATTTTATACTGTTTATGTTTTGAATCTTTACAATATTCAGCTGAATTATAAAGCAACATGGCTTTGGGACCTGGACACAAATAGGAAAGAGCATCAAGGATCTTCAAAAGCGACCAGACCTGCATGCCATTGACACAACATCCTGGGACATCACAACTAGGAAAAGAGTGTTTCTCTAATCTGAAAATAAAAATCCAGAGTCATCTACAGAGGGAAAAAAATGGCGCTTTTTCTGATCAGAAAACAAGGGAACCAAAATCAATGCCCGGGCCTCAAACGTAAAAATATCAGTACAAAGTAAATGCCRTGACTCATCAAAGACAGGAAAGCAGGGACATACAAAATGAGACATACAAAAGCAAAGAGGGAGGAGTGAGCTGGATTTTTTAKTATTTTAACATCACCTCTGAAAGTTCCACACTAAAGAATATTACTGAAGAATATTATCAGATGGGAATATGGAGGAGGTATGTACACTAATAATTAGGAATGTAAAAAAGTCTTTGAAAATAATCAAAGTGATTAAATAAAAGCTGCTGCTTGTGGAATTTTCAATCTGTAAGCCATTTATATCCTTTTGCCAGTTTCAGGCAGTATCAAACAAATGTGAAYGGTCATAAACAGAATTTTCCATTTGTTTTATGATGTATCCAAAGCACCTCCAAATGCATGTTTATTTAACTACTTCATGATTCCTTTACACAGAGAAAATATTAGGATATTTGTATTATGTAATAGTAGACATTGGAAACTACCTTATAGATACAGAAATGCCCTGTACAGTAAGAGAAGTTCGGTATTCTGCTTTTTACAGCAATGCCTACTAAACATTTCTGGAAAAGGTGCAAAAAAACCAGTGCAACGTGGACTGACTAATTTTTAATTATTTCATCTTCCTGTTGAAAGCAAAACAAATGAGCTGGCTAGAAAAAGTAACACTTACCTAGTAGACTAGTGWAATAAATATTCTTTCTGGAAATAGGTTATAGAGCACATGAGAARTAAAAATAGAATTCTTCTAGGAAGCACATGAATCATTACAATCAGGGASTTAGTGACAGTTCATCTGCAGTAGAGCTATTTCATCTGCATCCTAAAAATCTGTGTTTAAAATTTTGGCATCAAACTGACTCTGGGTCATTCAGATGACAAAACATTCCGCCTTGTATCCCATCTTCCCTTCTGTCCTAACAGACCAAATCCTTTCCACCTGCCTGCATCAACCTCTTCTCTATACCTTGATGTGACTGACCCTAATGCACACARTCCCATAACCTCTTCTGGTGCCACCAGACACTTTCCTTCTTTGCTTTCCTATCTCTTCCTGCACCTCACCTTTCTTTCTCCTGTGCCCCAGCATGTCCTATGGGTAGCCACAGGCATTCCTGTGGTGCCCCAGCTGCCCCAGGCAGATCCCAGGTCATCTGTTTTCTTCCCAGAGGTCTGCCTGCACACAGCTGAATGCTCCCTTCCATCTGGCAAGGGCACCCACCCAAACAGGGCTCCACACAGCTTAGGTGGAGCTTCGTGCTGTTGAGAGGGCCCTGGTAGCATCATGGATTTCAGCCTGCAGATTTCTGTTCCAGCAGCAGYGCAAGTGAGGAAGTAACAGCCAGCTGCTGCCTGTGCAGATCCCCGACTGCTTGCAGGCAGGTTCAGACACATTTAAGAAAGCCTGAGATGAACCTTTTCACATGTGCACGCTCTGATGGGCCCATTGGTGCAAATGCCTGGCATCATCAATGTTTCGAGTCATTAATTCATTCCATCAGTTGGCATCTATCAGGCACAATTAGGTGTCCACACAACTGGGACAGACATATGACAACACTGTCACACRTAARACCTGCCAYGGARGTGTGGATGCATCCCATCCTTCTTYYAAACACAACACTWAGCAGTTTCTCCACAAGGCARACYGTGCAGACAAGAAGTTTGTRAGCAATTCTAAATGTAACAAATCTGTTTTCCTCAGACACCMTTAACAAGTGACACTAAGGACCAACAGTATTTATATGACTATAAAAACATCACACAGGAATAACATKATGTACAGTGACAAGAACCATGAGTGAACTGTAAAATTATGCAAAAAGCTATATCAGGCAACAAGAAAACTGCTTATTTTAAAGAATGTAAAAGGAAAATGGGGCAAAAAATGATGRTAGAATATTTGAGAATATTCCTCCTCTTCCAGTTTTGCCAGGTTTTGCTTGTGGCCTCAACACTGGTATTGCTATTTCACCTGTGAATTAAGCCAGGTTGTGTAGCAGATCACAAGAAGTCAACTTTAACACAGTTGGAGATGTTAATTTTTCTTGCAAGGCAAGACACTGCTTTTTTAGTTTGACCATAATGCTCAGTTGCTAAAGAAAAGAACTGAGCTGCAAAGAAGAAGAGTGAAAAAGCAAGGCTATTCCTCTTTTCTCAGCACTTTGCTGTTATCAGATGGCCACATCCACAAAACCCTCACACGGAAAACAGCAGACTGTGATTGCAGAATAGTCATTGACTTCAACTTCTTCCTACACATTGCAAGATAAAAGTAGCRTGTGATTAATCATCATCACAGAATCACAGAATGGTTTGGGTTGGAAGGGACCTTAAAAATMATTTAGTTCCAATCCCCCTGCCATAGTGGGGATTTGAACCAATAACGGTCTCAAGGGCTGGATTCCAAGCAAAGGTTTGTGGTATAAAATGTGTGAATATTGCTGTCCAAAGGAGTGTGGCACAAGCAATGCCATTCTCTGGAGTGGCCCAGCACCCTGCTCAACCAACATTCTTCAGGCTCTTCTAAATGGCTGAGAGTAAAAGTACACAACTCTCACCTGAGCAGGACAATGAAATTCCTGCTTCCGACTTGGAATGTTCCTTAACGTGGCTCAAATTACAGGGGTTCTTGCTTCACAAAAGAATCAGAGGAAAACCCTCAGCATGGTTGCTCTCAACCAGCTCAAAGCAGGAACCTCCATGGGAAATGCCATTTCCCACCTGTCCAGATGCTCAGAGTGCTTCCCCTCCACCCTGACAGGGAGAAAAGAGGCTCCGTAAGAGGCAGCTCAGTCTCAGGATACGGAGGAGTTAAGGGAGAGAGGGGGAGAAGAAGGTACTCTGGACAGACTTATAACACAAAGAAGAATTCAGGAGCACTGAAAATGAAGAGTTTCTGTCATTTCCTCTGCATGCCACCTCTCTCCTCCAAGGCTGCAGTGGGCTGAGCAGCATCTGGAGCACACCTCATGGGGCTCTCTGCTTCAGCACAGTACCTCAGGCTGAGTTTAAACATCATTTTACCAGGACCACTGCTCTGTAGCTGTGATAAGAAAAGATAAATGACAGCCCAGGTGAGCACAAATACACAAAGCCAGTAGCTGGCCTCCAGTAGTGGTATATCCACACAAACGCACTGACTCCCACCACACCTGTATTTTGCCTTCTGTATAACCCCACAATCTACTTTTTATATCTGATCCACATAACCTTTGTTTCAGCAAAACCTCATCCTACTGATTGGAAGTATCTCCTGCTTAAMAGCCACAAATTTAGCTATTACATCAAAATATCCTTGTACATGAACCACATTATGAGTCAGAAAGTAAATTTGAGTAGTTACTCATGAATGAGAGCACACAATTCTGATAGGTCCTGGAAACCATCAGTGTAAACATTCAGAAGAAGACAAGAAAGCACATCTGATATGGAGGATTAACTTGAGAAGAAACAAGAAAAAGACAGGTTGTGGTACTGTTTTAAGCTCTGATTTGCTTCTGCCTTAAATTACATGGGTAGCCCTAGTTTTCTGATCTCAAATAGCATACAGCAGAAGTGAAAAATGATCAGAGAAATGCAGCAAGGACATGGAAGCTTCACACACAAAATAACAGGGCTTTAAGCAAYCTGCTGTAGAGCAAATTCTCCCTGCCCATGGTGGGGGTGGAACCAGATGATCACTAAGGTCCCTTCAAACCCAGGCAATTCTGTGATTCCTTAGCCAACGGAAGAGATCATGGGAAAGGAAATTACAGATCTTACTACAAGAGGATGAGCAGCACAGATGGCTCATGACTGTTGATTGTGTCCTCCAATACAAGAATTAGAAGATATTAAAAGAAGCTTGTGGGAACACRGTTCAAAAATATGGATGTGGGATGCAACAGAGAAGATGCTTTAGCAAGGAGATTTTATTTTTGTGCACATTGCCTCTTGTCTCACCAGTGGGCACTACTGAGAAGTGCTTGTCTCCCTCTCCTCCACTCCCTCCCTTTCAGTATTTGTACAGGTTGATGAGATAAGCCCTGAGTCTTCTCTCCTTCAGGATGAACAGTCCCAGTTCTCTCAGACATTCCTCATAGGAGATGTTTCAATCCCTTGTCTTTGTGAGCCTGACTGAACTGATCACTCCAGTTAGGTCTATATCTATCCCTTCATGACACTCCTCCATCATCCCCCCTCCAGCAGCTTTTCTACCTGACATTTTCATCAGGCTTTTCACAATTCCCACAATATCCATATTCAAGTACCATCACACCTGCATTCAGCACAGAGCCTTGGTTCAGATTTTGTACCCACTCAGAGTGCTGTTTGCCACCCTGGGGCAATGACCGTCATAGCAAGCAGTTCAGCACACTAGTTCAGCACACTAGTTCAGCACACTAGTTCAGGCAGATTTGTAGCTAAATGTTCAGAGTTTCACCTTGGCCCAAGACTAGTGCATGGCCAGCAGCATGGAATGAATACCCAAGAGCAGCTGTAGCACGTTAGCTAAACTCCTGAGGAAGTCTCTGGCTGTACACAATCCCAAAAGGATCCATTTCACACCCAGAGGCAGTTCCATGGTCCAAACTAACGAGAGACAGAACTATCCAAGATGGGCACTGGTATCTCGTATGACCCTGCTTTTGCTGACCTCTTTCTCTTGCTGACTGTGTCCTCAATGATTTCATCCAATTCACTTGGCAGAATCTTGACTTATCACACTGGTACATATAATGAGTTTGCAATGGCACTGCTCATCTACCTTGTTATCTATAGTTGATTTCCTTAGGCAAGATTCCTCTGCCATTACTGCTTTGTGGTGTCCTTCAACTACAGAAACACAATTAAATTCAGGAGAAGTCAAGCTAATAAATCCAGAAAGAAAACACAATTTCTGTTAAATTATACTGGTTAGTATTTTTTGCACAAAATATATTTTTTGTTTAATAATACATTGGATTTTAGATGCAACAGGCACACTTCCATAAAAGCTCCCAGCAACCTCTGACACTAAGAATAAGGGCAGTGCTTATCACTCGCAGTTGAACCACCACATTTGAGTGGATAAAATATTCATGGAAGCAGGCCTCTGAGCAGAACATACAGACATCTCTTTAATGACAAGAAGGTTAACCCAATGCCTTATTTCTGTTTTCTTCTTTCCCTCTCTGTCTCCAATCAAATTGCAAAGCCATCCCTGCAGAGAAAATGGCTAATCAAAGAAACATGAGGGAAGCAGATGTTAATTCCATAGCAGGTATCTCCCCAGCTGTACATGGGGAAACATTGCCAGGGAAAAGTGCTTTACTTGCCTTCTCAGGGGGATGGCTGGGAGCAGAGGATTGTCACCCTTCACCCTTTGTGCCAGGATATCAGTGCTGGGGCTGGGCTGTTTGGCTTGGCAGGACTGATTTTTAGCCAGAACAATCCAATGGTCTGGCTAACCACTTTTACATCGTACTGCTTTTGTGAAATAGGCAGTAACCAGAGGAGCAGCAGTGACCTGTGCCAGACACACACACCAGAACTGGTACACAGTTCTACTACAGTTAAAGTTCCTTCTAAAACTGTGTGCTTGGGAATAGTGCACACTGGAGTGTTAAAAAAAAACAAAAAAAAAAAACCAAACAAAACCAAGCTGTGAAAAAATAACAATATCCCATATGTATGTCATGTCTGTTGTGCATATTCATYCATACCTCCCAGTTCAGGGATCTTGCCCTCGTCTGTTGATGCTGCTCACAGCTCTGTCACCACAAGTTCACACCTTGGCACGTGCCCTGGCTTATCTCCTGGCTATGCTATTTTCTGCCTCTTCCATTATTGCATAAAGCTCTTACCATTCCTTTTCTTACTTTTGTTTTCTTCTATAAATCAGTTAGAACCAGCTTTTTTACCAGTCTGCAGTTCTCCAAATCTTTTAAATTCACCCATATTCAGAGAAACATTTCAGGTGCTTCTGTCATATAGTGCCAGACCTTGGTTTTAATGTCCTAGGATTGTGGAAATTTCTGCTTTTGTCTTTTCTTAAAGGTTGCTTTCTAGAYCTCTTGCTTGTAAAGAAACTCCTGACAGTGTCACCTGTAAGGAAGAGATGGCAAATAATTTATTTTTAAATAATGTGGGAATCCAGCTATTCTCATGAAATCTACAGCTTCTGAAACAGTGGGAGATAAGAAATCAAATTGATACTTATTCTTCTTTCCTCAGTGAGTGCACTTTCCCCCCATGAGTTCTGTCCCTTTGTCTTCTCACTCAGAACTCTCAGATGAAACCCTTGCTAACAGTTATTTCAGTTATTTTCAGTTATAATTTCAGTTATAACAGTATATTCAGTTAATTTTCTTAGCTCTGTCGGCACATTTACATATCTGTAAATATATTTACAGATATGTAATTATTTTACATATATTTACATACATGTATTTTCAATATAGTGTTGTTTAAAGACTATTTAAGATCCTATAYAGATAGCACATCAGAATGATAATTCATGCAATTTTAATGTATTTTTTATAATTTTTGTACCAAAGAATGTACAGCCATATTGAAGTTGACAAAAATTAAATATTGTTTTGAGCCTTCCATGTGGATTTTAGACAGSATATTTTGGTTTTCTTACCATATCCTTTAGTCTGACATAATTCCAAAGGAATCATTTCAATTTTTCCTTTTCACACTCTGTATCTACAGGTGACTGCATTCTGCCTCCCTAGCAATGCACYGTACTGCCCACAAGCAGTACCTTCTGTTCCCCTCTTCTGCTCTGCTTGCTCYTTAGCACTTCTAAGACATCATGTACCAATCACATATCACTTACYCTGTTTTACAAAATCAAAAAAAAAGGACCAGCATTGAAAGAGTTTGTGAGTAGTGAAGAAAACTCCCAAAATCTCCAAGATCAGCTGGAGTTGGAGTCTGTATTACCATCTTTAGGCTGTACTACCACCCATCGGCTTAAAGTAGAATCAGCAAAAGCAGCTGAGGGGAGAAAGCCTCTGCTCTGCTGCTGCAACACAGCCCGGCCCAGCAGCTCAGCTCCTGCAGGGTTGTCAGTCTCAGCAACTGGAAATTCCTCATCCCTGGCAGATCCAGCTTCAGTGGCTACAAAGATACCAAGCCCCATKATGGTCCTCTTTGACCATAGCTGTATCTGACAGTGATTTTGGCTTTTCAAGGCAGGGCTTTGGTTCTGGGGACATGGGATTTTCTTGGTAGCAGGTCCAAGACTAGATTTCTTTTCTATGGAAAGTGAGGGAGTTTAAAAAAGTCATCACTTAAAAATATTTTTTTTTCTTTTTTTTCTTCTTTTCCTTTAAGGGACCAGTATTTAACAATTTCGGATATGAAGATCTTTTCACAGATGAAGGTGCAAGTTACCTTGCTCTTCTTATTCAGGATCACTCTTTGCAGCTTAAACTTGCTATTTAGTTCTTAGTATTGCAGGCAAAACTACTTAACCTTGAAGGTTATTGTCAGCAGAAGTAATGACATGCCACAGGTTTGGATGTCAGTGTAATCCAGTGCATCTTTAAGTAATTTATTATTTTATTTGGTCAGACAAGTCATCAAACCTGTTTCTTTCAATCTTCTGCATCCTTCTATAATTCCTTTGGGCTTTATTAGAGTAGCAGCAACACTGCTTGAGCAGAACAATACACACCAGTCCAAAAATAATTAAAATATAAATCTTTAGGTGCCTACTTCAGGCATGGTTTATCACATAACTTAGTATCTATATGATACAGATCACACTGGATTTTGTCCAGGAGCTCTGAAAAATGTAAACTTCTAACACTCAGTCCAACCTGCCTATCTTGTGAATAGATTACATATTCTCTTATGTATTTACATACACTGTACAGCAATCAGGTAATTTTTAGTAAGCTGCAGCATTAGTTTCAATTAGCATTAGGTTAACACTAATTAACATCGGCCTAAAACATATGTAACTGTAAGAATATAAGAACTTTTAGCATTACTCTTGCTAAGGTGGCTCTAAAATGTTTGCTTAATGTCATAGAAGAAAAGTAAGACTTACATGTGGACTCCTTTATTGATATTAAACATTAGCTCATTTCATGTGCCTGACACCCAACCTTTGGCAGGTCAGCACAGAAATCACATCTTACTTTACACCAGTTCTAGCTGAAGAGCTCTTCATGTTAAAAACAAATCATGCAGCCCCATAGTTACTGGCTTCTATCTTGGAACCCAACAAGAGGACAAAGACAAACATTGTGAAGAGGAAGATACAGTTACAACTTTCTGGGTCTGTGAATATTGGTATCAGCAGATTTTGAGATTCAGAYTTTATTTACAGCTGGCAAACCCAGTAAATATTGAACCTAATTCATAATATAGTTATTACTGGTTTTACACTAATACAAGGTACTAACAGCAGACAATAAAGGAATATTCTGAGTCTTTCTTTACTGAGGGCGAACCCTTGGGATGTGTTTCATGCTATCCCTGCTTGGTGAGACTGATCATGAATAAGGAGATAGTTAAGGTGATACAAACTCAACAGCAGGAGTGCATTTTGTCAGTATTATGAGAACGCCCTAATTTCATAACTGATGAACTGTGACCTTGGTATTTTGCATCATGTATTTTTAAAAGCCCAAATTTATTTATTTGCTGTACTTTTACAGCATTTCCTTAATAAATTTTCCATACATTGTCCACTATTTTCAGTAATAAAAATATTTTTGAGCATTTCCAACACAGAACTATAATTATAGAAAGTGCCTCATTTTTGGTTGTGGTGTGCTTTGAAGAGACAGCCCTTTTTTTTTTTTTTCCATACAACAACAAATGCCCACTTCAGAATATATGAATTTTCACTCTTATTAATACGAACATTATTGTGTGAAAAATACTCAGCTATATAAACTTCCTGAAATCTTTATTAATATTTCAAACATCATCGGTTAAAAAGAAACTGCATTTTGGCTCTACTCAGTGAGGGCAAAGTTATTTGAGCAGGTGATTCATTTAATTAGAAAGATGTTCTRAAGACAACTTCTCTTTTCATACCACAGTTAGTATGCGTAAGAGTATCTGATTATAGCCTTACGTTGCTATCCTAAGTATGTAATTTTATTAGACCTCACTGAGGAGGGATAAACCTTCAAGCATTATTTATTCACACACTGAAAGATACCACACCTTTTAGAAATGCAACTGTTGCTCCAGTGGAACATCTGAATAATGAATTATTTATAAAAGCAAGGAGGATGGGAGGGGAGGCCTTCTTCAAAGTCAAGTCTCTTTCTCTCTGCATGTTTACATGTAATTATTTTTCTAAAGTCTTGATGTTAAAATTCAGTTTTACATCAGAACTKCTTTTGGAGCCTACTTACTTTGATTTCAAAATCTTTAATTTTTAATGAACGTTGCTTCAGATACTGAAGACGTTTAAAACACAATCCCTGTTGCTCGTTGGAGACAGGATCTATTAATACATAATCTTCACTCTGCAACTCCATAACTGTTTTGCGCATGCAACATGAAATCCAGAGAAATATTGTTTCCCTAAAGTCTTCCTCCAATATTTGAATTTTGAGTATTCCTGAGTTACACTGGCAACAGAGTAGCAGTGGTAAAACTTGTTCAGAGGAATACAACAGTTTATGGTTAATACCTGCTAGGCAGGTCCATACTGTCYGGTGAAATGCAAGACCACAACAGGGGTTAGACAGCTATTAGTTTATTGATAATATAAACTGCAATCAGCATGGGAAGCCCCAGTAACCACATAGTTGTGAAGGAAAAGCAGTCTGGTCAGGTACCTGATTGRGGTTCAGTCCAGGGACATCCCTCTCTCAACTTAGACACTTGTTCTTTAAGACAGCAGGTTTTATGTATCTATATATCTCTCTCTATTTCATGCCCACCTGGTTACACATCAAACAATACAATGATGCAGTAATTAGAAGCTTGGGTCACTATGACCTGAGGATCATCATTGGGGGCAGGTTGCTTGCTCTGTGAACTGGGACTACATCACATGCATTGAGCCATGTCCTTGATTCCTTGATGATCCTCCAAATCCTCCCTCTGCAAYGAGGGCATCACAATGTGGTGCATTTCTCTGTACAAATGGCAGGGACCAGGCTTAAAACCTTGGAACAGATGATTTTATGCGTAGTTTTTCTTTCACCTCAATCAGTACATTATGAAAAAAGACAAAAAAMCCCATCCTTGTGGTATAGCTATTGACACGGGCAGCAGCACAGATACTCACATGTTAAAAAACTTACATACAATAGTATGTTTTCCATTATTTCCATATTAAAAAAATGTAATGCAAAAGTATTCTTAAATTCCTTCCCCAAATTAACCTGAAAAATTCTATGGTGTTTTAGGAAGGCTTCTGAAATAACGTGCACAAACAAAGATCACCTGAAAATACTGCCTGAAGGAAGACAATGAGAATCAGAATGGCAATATGCCATTCAATAGTGCTTAGAAAATGCAGCTGTTCTGAGGTTGGCATTTCTTTTGTTCACTTGGCTCTCTTTTTTTCTGGCTGATTCATATCAATCCCAAAGCAAAAATCATCARTAAGGTGCTTCATTAAGACATGGAAAATAGTCTTCAGTCTTGAAGAGGACTGGAGGCTCATAGAGGGTCTGTTGTCGTGAGGAAGACGATTTCTGCAAATTAGATAAGTTTATTTTTCACCTTTTTCAAAAAACATTTTAAAGCAAAGCCTACAGAGCTAAAATAGAAGACAAGAAAAGTTTTTAAGGTACATCTCCTTAGTTGAGTGAACTCTTAATCATAGCTCAGATGAGTYTGGTGTATTCCTAATGTTAGTGAAGAAATGCAGCCTCTGACCTTTGCTATTCCAGCACTTTAACAGACTCAGTTCTGGAACATGYATGAGATGCCAGCACTGCAGGAGCCAAACTGTACCATCCCACTGATTGTCACCTTCATCCTGTCCAAGCCACACACCTTTACCTTTTCTGCTCCAGCCTTTGAAYTCTCCTCATCTGCTTCTTTTGAGTCAACTCTTGGCCTGTGCTCTCATTTAGTTACTCAAAAACTGTCCCTATGGAAACATACCAAGCAAATGTTTCTTTCAAGAGGGTTGCTGCTCCTGCTGAGCTTCTCCATACGACACACTGTTAAAAATCATCTGGTAGTGGACTGGAAGAGAACTGTTACACTGTTCTTCAGGAAAGGTGTACATGTTTCTTTTCAATATTAACTGTACATTATTTTGCTATATCAGATGGCTCATTTGAAGAGACAATATCAAGGACCACTTCTGGCTACTATGTCAGCCTTACAGAGTGTAAATGATGCTGCAACACAACACAGACGCAGGGTATGTTTTCAATAAACGGCATTAAATTGAATGCTTGAAATCAATATTTCATTAATTTAAAATTCTTTTGGACTAATAAAAAGATTTAGATGAACTATTTTGTAGAGCCTTCAGCCAGTTTGGAATGATGAAATCAGTTTCCACCAATTATAAAGTTAAAAGCATACCAAATATCAGTAGTATCCTAGGAGTCTGGAAAGCTTTTACAGAACCAAAATGAAGATAAAAGTAACCATAACTATAAAACAGCATAGTGGAACTTCCCCAATATTCAGCTGAGCTGTATACTTGCACTCCATATGAAATATGTAAATTTTCTTCTGCTATATACAAAATTGCTGGATATGTTTAACTTTAGAATACCATTAATTTTTCTAAGTTTGTTTCACCATTCAAGTTGCAATGAAATWAAAAAAAATACAAAGATCTCAGTTATAAATAGTAGATATTATCAGTGCTCTCTGTATCACAAATTTTGYCAAATGTAAAAACAATCTTCAAAATCGAAGTTCTAATCTTTGAAATAATGTCCCTATCCTGTACTGTCTGATGAGGTAACATCCTGCAAGTAAGGGAAACTAAGGTCACAGGTTTTCTGCAACTCCTGACACCGATTTAAGAGGAGCTGTATTTGCCTATGTGCAAGAAGTGGATGATTTCAATCTGGTGAGGAAATATATAGCCAGGCACAGTACTCACACTTGCCTAAGTACACATTTATGGTTTGTAACCTTTACACTGCCTGCTATTCACAAGGGAAGAACTTGGGGTAAAATCTGAAAGKGAGATTATAAACACACATCCTGAGAAATGGAAAATACAGCCTTTATGTAAAGAAACAGATAAATGGGAAGAGAGTGAGGGAACTTGGCTAAATTAAAAGTAGCAGCTAAATGTGAACTACAGTTACACAAAATATCATGACATCAGAATAGCCTTCTTTTCCAAACCATGTATTTTACCATTGATGTCACCGGCTAGATAAATGTCAGGCATGTGGAGAAATCTCTATAAGCATTTTGATTGACATATRCTTGTGTTTACTACTGAAAGTATGGATTTTACTATGCAATACTGAGAACCACTGCAGACAGTAACAGCCTTTTCGTTAATCAAATAACACCAGTAAATTCTGAGTTTTACTTTATTACTATCCATACTCAAACCAAGAAACTGCTGGAGATGGCAGGTTCACCTTCCTGACACTTTSAAAGATTTTCTACCTTTTTAATTGTAGAAAAACTGCAAATTTGACAAAGTGTTTCCACACAACACTAAAAAAAGCACTTTCTTACAACTATCTAACTTTTCAACTTTTAGCAAAACCATGGAAAACACTGTTGAATACTCCTCAAGGCAACTTACTCCTTTTTTTTTTTTTTTTTGTTTTGTAACTGGCCCATAAAGAGCAGCTTTGTGGTGTTGTTTTGTTTTAGGTTTTTTCTTTTAAGAAAAAATGACAGGAAACACCAAGGAATAAAAAGGAATGAGATGAAAAATTAACTTACTTCAAAACTGCACAGTAAACAGCAGTGAAGGACAAGTTCCTCGAACTCAGCCTTACAAAACAACACATGTTCTTTTTATATGTATTTTTCTTGGCTGCCGCCCATGCTTGGAAGATGTAATAACAAAAATACKTCGAAGAGCCACAACCTACCTCCTCTACCCCTCTACAAAGGTATTTTTTCAGCATTCTTACCGGAATAAAAAATCCTGAGTTAGTACAGAATGAATGTACAAAAATATAAAGAAAATAACCTGTGAGCTGACAAGATGCAAAAGAGTAGAATTTATACATGGTGCACTGGCAGGTGATGTCAAGAAGCATTGGGTATTCAGAAGACTTCATTTCTTTTTAACCAGAAAGTTATTTTAAACCCAAGGCATAATGCCAGTTCAGTCTTWGGTAAGACATCTCTGAAACACACCAGAAAGAGCACTTCAAGTCTTTTGTAAAGGAACAGTCCACAAGGAAAGACAGAGAAAACTGCATGCTTAGAAAGTTTACCAGTGTGGTAACATGACTATCAAACTGTCATGCTGAATACAAATATGACCTTTATTTTAAAAATACTGTGCAGATTAGCTTTCATTTTCTTTTTTGGTAACATTTCTGCAGTGATGCTGTCAATGCAGTAGGATCCTTTAGGAGGGCTCCTTGTACAGGCTCTTCCTACTTGCTTTGCATACCACCAGAGATCAGGGGTGCTTTAGCACAAAGCCTTGCACATTATGAGCTTGTTTGTGCCCTTCATTCATTTCTTTGTGGGCTCGGCCTTGTTTTACAAATTACACAAATGCTTTTAAGAAATTATATTTTTAATTTTGRTTGTTTTCCTTTTCTTGTTTTTCAAATACGCCTGAGAACTCTGCAAAAATCCTAATAGAGTATATAAAAAATGTACAGCTAAATCCAGATACACTAGTAACAAACTTACAATTATTTTAATCACCTGCTCTAGTCAGCAGAGCAACCAAACTGGTCACATGGCAGCAAAACTTTACTTACATTAAGGAAGGATGGCATGCTGATTGTGTGCAAGATTTTCTTGAATGTGCTTGGAAAAGCTCCAAGGTCTGTTTCTGCCTTTATGACCCGTTCTTCCAGTCCAGCTACCCTATTCCCAACCATTTTCACAAAAGCCTAGTGTGAAAAAAAACCCCAAAATAAATATGACATTTTCACAAATGAAACAGGATTATGTATTGCGTAACATGGTGAAAGATCTATTGCTTAAATGAGTCAAAAGCTTCATGCTCTATTTCCCTTTCACCTACAAGTCCATTTTATTGCTAGAACTTACTTGAGACACGTAAAAGGCTGAAAACCAGGTTAAGTCTAATAAAACAACCTTCCTTTTCCCATTTACCTTTCAAATAACTAACTTGGATTTTGCAGAATGTAGACTTCTATCTGCCTTTCTACTACCAAATAAAAAACCAAGGATCCGAATCACAATTTTGAAGCTTTATCTGGGATAATGAGACTTCTCATTCTATTTGTTTCTGAAACTTTGAAGGCTACTACCAAAAAAACTGCCTTGCTTCAAGCATTCAATGATTTTTTTTTTAAGGCTGTTAAAAAAAAATCTAAAACATGTTTAGAATGCCCACCGTCTCCAGAAATTCTTAATAAATTGTGTCTTCTTTATGAACCTTGGAATAGTGAACCCAGAGTGGACATGGAGAGCACAACTGATCTGAGCTCACTCCAMATGAGTGCACACACACAAATATGCACACAGTGATTCTTTCCCCCATTAAGAAACAGAATGCATCTAGAAGATACCAAATACATACCTCTAGTTTGTCGATTTTCCTATATATCTGCCTCATTTCTGTAGCTTTTGTGTAAATTTGAGGTATACTTTCATTGACAACTTCAGAGGAATCACTTCGAATCTAAAGATAATTCAAAGAAATAATAYGGAAATCAATAGATGAAACAAAATGTGTAGTAGATTTTATTCTGGAAATTAGACCTGTGCTCCAATCAACAGATTAAAGTTCAGAGTTTGAAAATACCGAATTAAAATTAGTATAAAACCACTAGATTAAAACCAATAGACTAGCTCTTTTTCTGTATAGTTTTGAAGTAACTTTGATGAGAATTTATTTTGCATAGACTAATGTTTACCTTCATAATTAAATTGRAAACAGGCTACTACAATCTTTTCTAAACTGAGATTTTCCAAGACATACTGCAAAATTAATTACATTAAACTAAAATTTTCCCTTAAGTTTTACTACCTGTACTTTTCCTGAGGTTTGTTAATAAAAGGCCAMCAAGTCTTGGTTTACTGGTATTAAAACAAAACCAACCCCAAACCTACAATGAAGTTTCCCTTACAGTTGTGCAGGAGAACATACATGCTATGCTTTAAGAGGCAGCCTGTCTACCAGTGTCAGCTTACAGGAACTTTCCATTCAGTTCYCTCATCTAACCCTATGTGAGAAGTGAAAACAAAGCTGCCTTTCTGAAAAGAGGGTCCTCTGAAGACAAACCTGGCTTTGGTGGTTTGGCAACTCTGATTAGATACTTTCATTATAAAGCCTACAAAGGATGTCTTTATGTATTTTAAAGGAGAAGCAGAATATCGTATCATTCTTTTAAACCTCTTTCACTGCACCATTCAAAATGGGATTCTGTGCATGTACATGGACAAGTATACAAATGCAACTACCTACACACGCAGTCAAGAAAAATTTCTTTGCTGAAGGGGTTGTCAAGCATTGAAGCAGGCTGCCCAGGGAAGTRATGGAGCCACCATCCCTGAAGGCATCTAGAAGATGTGGCATTTTGGGACATGGTTTAGCAGTGAACATGGCAGTGCTAGTTTAATGGCCAGATTTGATGACTTTTGAAGACTTTTCCAACCTAAGAAGTTATATCATTCTGTGATTATATACCTATATGGGCATATTTTACTCTGAAATKAAACTGGGGTAGTTTTCATCCATGAGCTACTTGATTACCAAAACAAATAATGCAATTATCAAATRTGTTCTCTTACCAGAACCTCTCTAGACTGAAGGCTTTTTTTCTTTATCTTATTTGCAAACACAAGCACTGGTTTAACTGTATTCTGACTTCAGAAACACTGCTACATGCAAGTTCTACATACCATGTCCAGCATTCCCACGAATTCATCCACCCTGGTCAGTAAGTCTTCTAGACTCTTGTCTAAGCTTTCTATCTGCAAAACAGAGGTCGCTTAAAGTACTTGAAAACACACACACACACAAAAAAAAAGCCAGTCTCACACACAAAACCACCGARTATAGACACGGGTCAGACTACAACCAGCCTCACAGGAATCCCACGGCTTTTCCCTCTCTAGGCTCAGCCTAAGTGACGCGACCCCCGGTACATCCTGTGCTGCAGAGCATCACACCGGGAGCGTGTCCATCTCCCGACGGCTGCTATCCCATGACAGCCGGGCCCCCGCATGCCCCTATGCCCGGGAGCTGTGCAGGAGCCCCGGCCCCTCGCCCACC